TTCTGTGAGTGTGTGTGTGTGTGTGTGTGTACACATGTTTTAGTAATTTTTTTTCACAGCTGTGACTAAAGGATTTGACCAGAACAATTGTAGGGGAGGAAAGGTTTATTTGAGGGCTCACAGATTCAGAGGTCTCAATCCATAGATAGCAGGTTCCATTCCTTGGGCCTGGAGGTGATGCAGAACATCATGGGTATAGAGTATGGCAGAGGGAAGTAGCTCACATGGTGATCAGTAGGCAGAGAAACAGACTGACTCTACTCTCCAGATACAAAATATATACCCCATAGCCATGTCCCCAGTGAAACATTTCTTCCAGCCACACATGTAAAATAATCCAGTTACATACATGTAAAAGAATCCAGTTACACACATGTAAAAGAATCCAGTTACCACTCTGTTAATCCCATCAGGATTAACTCACAGATTAGATTAAGGCTATGACCTAATCATATCTCTTCCAAACCTTCTTGCATTGTTTCACACATGAGCTTTTGGGGGATAACACATGTAAACCATAACAATATACATACATATATATTTTCCAATACTTCTTATACTTGTTAAATGTTTTCTCTCTCCCAAACTACCTTTAGAAAAGGATTGGGTATGAGTCCCAAATTTAAGTCCTGCATGGTTTTGGCTTTAAATCAGAATTGAGTACTCTCTTAACTATCAATAAACACTGAAACAGGGTAGGGAAAATCTAGATACACACATACGTAAGTTAGAAATGAATAAAGCTGGAAGAGAAAGAAGTAATGAAGAAAATTTTTAAATTTTAGAGAGATGAAGATAAACAAACCTCTTATAAAGGAGGTATCAAGAACCCATACCATACCAGTCATCCACTTAGGTGTCTAGGGTTTCCCAACCTCAACACTAATGACATTTGGGGCCAGATAATTCTTTGTTATGAGAGAACCATTCTGTGCACTGCAGGATATTTAACAGCATCCCTTGACCTCTACTCACAGCGCTGCCCAGTCACGGAAACCAAAAATGTCACCAGACATTGCCAATAGTCTCAGGAAGCAAGATAACCCCCAGCTGAGAACCACCGAGCTAGATATACAAAGGTAGTCCCCACCTTCTGGTTGTAATTTTTGTTTTATGCTCCTTGGTTCTCAAAATTTTGGTGAATTATGGACTGTGAAAATTGTCAGACTCACTCTTCCATGGTGGGGCTCCCTCTGAGTTCTGACTAAGAGGGGGAAGGGAGGTCTGGAAGCATCCAGTTCCTTACTCTCAGTTACTATTCTCTAAGTTTCCATCACTAACACTTGCACTCTGCTCTTTTAGACAGTTTTTTTAGAGCAACAAATCTCTGATGTTTATCTCTTAATGATATTTATATTATCCATTAATAATACACAAAAGTGGCAAATCAAGATGCAATCATAAACTGTTTTGCATTAAGTGGACATTTTAAGAAACGTTCTACATGAGTAACCATCTCCTGTCACAGGCTTGTGATTCTAATTAGCGCCAAGATGTTTCCTTATCATCTCTTTTAACTGAGAGTTGGCTGAAACTGTGATAGAGAATGGGAAGGAAGTGTGTGCTTGTTTTTGTTTAGTTTTCATAAACATGTCATGATGTGTCACGAGACCGAATCAAAGCAGCTTTCACCTGAGACTTGAAAACCTTCAGAAGTATTCATTAGCAGATACTTTGATGAGGTCAGCAAGCTTCCAGTCTGATATTCTTACCATTTTAGTCTAAAAATAATCATGAGAATCATATGGTGTTACCCATGGCCTTTTCTTCAGAGGGAAACAAATGCCAGAGCATTTCAGAATCCCCTGAGATGTCATGGACCAGGCAGACCAAGAGCTCAGGAATAGAAGGGACAGGTACAGGAAGAAAGTAGCATTTGCTGAATCTCTTTTGTTTTTTTAAAGTAAGCCCTAAGTTAGAATGGGCCAGACCTTTAACTGTGGAATTGCCCCAGGCTCAGTCCCTGGAATTTTTAACTACCTCCCTTATTTTCTAGAAAATCTTACCCGTTAATGTGGCTTCAGATACCAACTTTCCAACTTATATCTTCAAACCCATACTCCTCTGAGCTCCAGGTGTTTATATCCAACTGTCTCCTCTATATCACACTTGACTATCTTAAATTGAACTTGTCCCCCCAGCCCTAATCTCCTGCCTTCCCTCTCCCTGGTGTCAGTTCAGCTATTTAATTTGTATCTTCCCAATTATTCAGGTCACAAACACTGGAGCCACCCTTCTCAGCTGTCTTTCTCTCTCACCCATGTAAACATTTCTAGATGTTTCCAAAATCCAACCATTTCTCATCCTTCTACCAGCAACTACCCCAGGTTAAGCTGTCCTCACCTGAACTATTACAACTAACCTCCGTGTTTGCCTCTTGGGCCTGTTCTCACCCCAGCAGCCCATCTAACTCTGTAAATTCCAACACTCCCAATGGTTTCCCAAAGGCCTTCCATACGCAAGACCCTGTGCCATCTAGCTACCTGCCATACCTCTTCACTTCTTGTCACTTGCCTCCTTACTTTCTCTGCTCTTACTTCAAGCTTATAGTTGCTTTTTGCTCTCTTTGGAGCACACTGAAATTCTCTTGTGTCCCACCCTCATTTATTTCCTCAAGTAACTGTTAGAGAGACCTTCCCTGACCATGTTATGTACCCCTTATCCTGGTGTTCATAGATCTTATTCTGCTTTAAAAAAAAATGTGTTCTTTGAAACAAATGTGTGTATATACACACATTTGTTTATTATTGCATATGTACACACACACGTTTCTATATATCCATTTGTTTATTAATACAAGGGTTGGCAAACTATGATCTAGGACCAATTCTAACTCTGTCCTGTATTTTTACAGATACAAGCTAAAAATGTTTTTTTAAAATTATTACTAAAAGGTTGTAAAACAAAAGGAAAAAGGGGAAAGAATGAATGAATATACAATAGAAACTATACGTGGACTAGACTGCAAAGCCTAAAATATTTTGCATCTGACCTTTTGCAGAAAAAGCTTGCCAGAGGCTGTATTAGTATATTTTCTCCTCTAGAATATAAACCCCTGGAGGGCAGGGACTGTGTTTAGTGCACTGTCATACCCTAGCACATAAAATAGTTTCTGGTGCAAATTTGATGCTAAATAAAGATTTTAAATGGATGAATGAAGGAATGAGATATTGAGTCTTGGTGAAGTCAGTGAGTCGTTTAGAGTCACAAAGCAAGTTGGTAGATGAACCAGGATTTAAACCCAAGTTCCCCTGATCCCACATCTGGGTCCTAAGGTCCAAAAACTATCTGCAGCAATGACTATAATCCCCTTAATTTCCACCCAAAGTTTCCTCATTGTAAACTGCCTCTAATATGCACATTAGGAAAGGATCCTGTGAGACAGGATGAAAAGAGATGAGATGCAGGCACGGTGTCTCTGCAGGAAACCTTGAAGAATGATTCCATGATAAACTGACATCTGATATCAACCATATCCAATTTGTTTTCATAAACAACAATGCTTATTAGTAAGACAAGTATTATTCTTACTGTACATATTTTAAAGCTGTGTTTCAGGGAGATTAAGGGAGTTAGCTGTCATTAAATAGTGAGAGGCAGAGACAACAGAATTCAGGTCTATCACTTTGCCTACAGAGCTTTCTGCTGTACCAAAGTGGACCAACATGTATCCCACAACTCTTCTGTTGGCCAATATGCTACTGGAAACATAAAGAAATTTTAATAAAAATTGTGGTCACACGTTAGTAACTGCTAAGAAATCAGGGCTACTACATTTCACTTGAATTTCTGTAATATGCAAGAAAACCCCCTCAGCTATAAATGTCCACGTACTAATGGCAAAGGCAGCATCAAAGTCAGAACCTTGAAACTGAAGCAATGAGTAGGAGAACAGCCAAGTAGATCATGTCTTGGACTTTTATTGGTGTAACAATAGCACAGGATTTTGGAGCTGCCAGGCCCATGACCATCTTCAAGAGGAAGCCAAGAAAAATGACAGTTACGTTAACTAACACAAACATGCACAGCTGTCATCTCCTGGACAGCTGCTGTCTCTAATCAGCTATCCTCTGGGGCAGCTGACGTTGGGGCTTAGACTATTTGGCCTAGACACTATGTGTGCTTCATGGCTGCCAAGGGCCAGGTTTAGTAATTGTGTGACTGCCACTGGCTGTTTTTATAGATTAGAGGTCATGATGATGCCCCCTGGAGTTCATTTGATTCTGACAGCCTACTGTATGCTGGTCAAAATACCAGCTCAGAATGTTTACAACAGTCCAACTTCAAATGTGTCTCTTTGCTTTATAGTTTTCTTATACTTTGTCCAACCATGTATGCACATTTTTCACAAAAATATAGTCTCTATAAACAACAGCAAGTGAGAACATTGTACTAGATTGTGCCCATTTCCCCATCTGTTCGCCTTACTCACTAGAACATACCACAACTCTTAGGTAACATAAAACAGTGTCATTTTCAGTGTTAGTATAGACTGGGTTTTTATGTCTTAAATAGCTGTAATTGTTAAATAAAGTTTAATAATTATAATTATTTCTTCAAATAATTTAGATGGAGTCTTGAGCAAGAAAAAAATTGAACTGCATAATTACAAAATGTACCATTCATTTTAGTTCAATTCTAACCTTACGTCTTTTTATAAAAGAAGTTGGTTTACTTCATTTGGAAGTAACCTTAGTAATTGCAGTGAGGAACATATGACAAAGGTCCAGTATTTTACCTAAGAAGTGCTTATGTTCAAAAATGAATAAATAAATCTTTTTAAATTTTTAATCTAAAATCATTCAAAATCAGGTGTTAAGTGTCTTCGGAGTATCAAGCATGACACTTGGTGTGATGTTGTGTGTGACACTGTTCTTAGAAGGTTTCTGGCTACTTACGTGCAGTATTCCCAGGAAAGTCCATACAAGAGGAAGACATACTTGGCAACCCTACATATATACTGTATTAATCAATAAAAAATATATCATTTTTGTTGTCAGACTTGAGAAAGATATCCAAGATCTTGAAAAGGCTGAACTGCAAATCTCAACCAATGAAGAAGCAATTTTAAAGAAACTAAAATCAATTGAGAGGACAACAGAAGATATAATAAAAGTGCGTATCAACTAATCATAAAACTATGATTCCCTCCCAAATGAGTCAACAAATACTCTTGTAATTTTTCAAAGTGTTTCCACATTTAGATTTTATTTTTTAAACTGAATTAATCATGGCAAATTCTTTTTTTCTTATAGTCTGTGAAAGTGGAAAAGGAAGAAACATTGGGAGGTATGTTGTTCAGCAGCCTATTTCATGTCATATAAGATATTTTTTTTGACAAGCCCAGTGAGATTTTTTTTCACATTATCATAAATATATCCTAAGCACATTTTAATTTGTATCAATTTTACAGAATCAATTGAGGATATCTATGCTAATATCCCTGACCTTCCAAAATCCTATATACCTTCCAGATTAAGGAAGGAAAGAAATGAAGGAATAGAAGATGATGAACAAAACAGAAAAGGTATGTAAAAAATCTGTGTTCTATGGCATGTCTTCAATTTCAGATTTACAGCATCATATATTTACAACTTGCTGTGGCATCTTATGCTCCCAGGTTAAGAAATGGTCCATTTTACAAACTTCCACGAGGTATGTCAGTCACTTATACAGATAGGGATAATGACGTTGCAATATTTATTCCATGCACTTTATTCCCTACAAAATTAGTCATGAACGGGTAAAATAAACGCTTTTGAAGGAAATTAGAAACTCTGAAAAGCTAAGCTTCCCTGACCAAAAATCTCTCTCCCAACATATTTCATTCAGTAGACCCTCTTGAGTTACTGAAATGCTTTTGAAAATTAAAGCAGTCTATTGGGAAGTAAGCATTATTTACTCTCGGAGGGGAACAATTTTCCTAAAAATAATATACTTCAGAGCCTCAGGAAAAAAAGGAATATTTGTGTTAAGGAAGAGAGGAGACCTTTGAATTTTATAATGGAAGTAAAAGCTACTCTCTTTCTGCAGGTAGATATATCTATCCACTCCACAAGTATTCAGTGAATACCTAATATGTACCAAGCTTAGTTAGGCACATAGTAGATATTCACTAAACATATCACATTAGGGAGTGAAATGCAGAATAAAGTAGAAATGTGAGACAGGGAGGGTGTGGATAAGGGATGGTTGGGTAGCCAGAACCATGAGACAATAGAGGAGGCATGAAATGCAAGATGAATTAAGGGATAGAGGGAGGATGTGACAAAAGTCAACATTGCCACATTGCAGTTTTTCACAGATTCCTATTAGCTCTACCCAGCCTGTTAACTTTCCAGCCACAGGGTTCTTATCTGGGTCATTAAACAGATCTCAATTTTCTCCAACCCAACCAATTACCTCCAGTTCAAGTGTTTCAACAGCTGATATTGGGGTCTTTAGAGCTTCTTCTACTTGAAAATTAGTGTGAAATAGAGAAGCCTATGATCTAGACTTCTCCTTCCCTTGTCCTTACCAAAACAACCCCCATGCTGTGGAAACTTTAGAACACTCGTCTATAATTTCAAGGCATCAGGCCTGTGCACAAGGATGTAACTCAATAAAATGTGGTGTGCTAGGCATTTCTCCTCTTGCAATGCACAATGTAACATATTCTTCCTCAATAAAGGAGAGATTAACTCCTCCCACTGAGCAATACAAAAAAGCACAAATCTGCCTTGTTGGTTTCTTAACTGGAAAGGGGACATCTTTGGTTCCCCAGTGAAAATTCTTACCATTTGGATCTATCAGTTTCTCTTCTCCAATCAGCTTCACTTCTTTAATCCTTCAGTTGTTTTTTTTTTTTCCAAAATTCCACACACCCATACCTGAAAACCCATATTGTTACCAGGTTGGTCATTATATAACTAATGAATAAAATTAGAAACTTAAAAAATAAACAACATCTTACATAAAAGAACATCAAAGTGTACAAAAATAAATCCTATGAAAGTAGGCTAGTTTATAAAAGAGAGAGTTAACTAAATCAAAGATCCAATTTGTCTCTTAACAGCTTTGTATGCCATGGAAATTAAAGTTGAAAAAGACTTGAAGACTGGAGAAAGTACAGTTCTGTCCTCAATACCTCTCCCATCAGATGACTTTAAAGGTACAGGGATAAAAGTTTATGAGGATGGGCAGAAGTCAGTCTATGCGGTCAGCTCTAATCCTAATGCAGCACACAATGGCACCCATGACCTGGCCCCAGTAGAGGTGGAGGAGATTTTAAGACAAGCCTCCGAGAGAAACTCTCAATCACCAACGGAGTATCATGAGCCTGTATATGCCAATCCATTTTGCAGGCCAGTGACCCCACAGAGAGAAAAGGTCATCCCTGGACCAAACTTTCAAGAAAGGATAAAGATGAAAGCCAATGGACTGGACAATGATGTAAACGAATCCATGTACAATATGGACAATGGAATTTTAGAAGAAAGGAGCGATGACTTCAATCATATCAGTCCCATCCAGCCAACACCTCCTCCCCGATCAATGACTCACCAAGCAGAAGAGACGTTCCACACCCCTCAGAAGAGGATGATGCCTCCTTGGGAAGAATCGAATATCATTCAGGACAAATATGTGCCCTCTCCGAAGGCCAGACTGAGCCCCAGCAAAGCAACAGTTGGGAAGTCTGAACCCCATGGTTCTTCACCCACTCTCCAGGAGGAAGAGGATGTTAGATACAATATTGTTCATTCATTGCCTTCTGACATGGATAATACAGAACCTGTAACAATGATTTTCATGGGGTATCAGCAGGCAGAAGATAATGAAGAAGAAAGAAAGCTGCTGACAGGGTATGATGGGATCATCCATGCTGAGCTGGTGGTAATTGATGATGAGGGGGAGGAGGAGGAAGGAGAAGTGGAGAAGCCATCCTACCATCCTATAGCTCCCTGCAGTCAGGTTTACCAGCCAACCAAACCAACACCACTTCCTAGAAAGAGATCCGAAGTTAGTCCTCAGGAAAACACAAACCATAAGTCTCCCCACAAAAATTCTATATCTCTGAAAGAGCAAGAAGAAAGCTTAGGCAACCCTGGCCGCCATTCTCCACTTGATGTTCCGACAGCTGGAGATGGGACTGAGGATCCATCCTTAACAGGTAATAAAAGTGACAAGGCATGCCACTGCTGTTTAGTCATGTGACAACTTTCTCTCTGTGTTAACAAACCCTCTTGTTTTTTCGGCTTCTTTGACATCTCACAAACTAATACACATTCAGAGTTTTTCTTAAGGCTGATCCAATTATTATCACCAGAGTAAAGTGATTAAGTCACTTTAAAAGCTAAGAAGTGAAAATAAATTGTTACCTTATTTGGATAGTAAATTGATTGACTTTAGTAGCTTGATATTTGTCTTCTGTCATGGTGTGAATGTATTTGGGACACTAATATGTGGGATCATTGATAACAAATTTCCCACCAGAATCTGATGACAACTACTTTTTTTTTTTTGTGCCTGGCTATGATTTCAACTTTCCACATAAGTTAACAAATTGCCTTAATTTTGCAAGGAAAAAAAATATAAGAAACGAATATTATTTTCACAGTATTTTGTTATTTTGCTATATCTTGTTTCTCTCTATACTTTTTTATAGTTTTATTAATTTTATTTCCTTAATATTTCTACATTTTTAAAAATAGAATGTCAGTTTATCTTAACATCATCTGTGATATTTAACTTTGCATAGTCTTCTCCAACTTAGCATATTTATTTTTCTATTTGTATATATTTGCCTTTCTCATTCTCTATGAAGTTTTTATAGCTTTAGAGCCACCTAATTATTTTAGTATTGAATGAAAAAGAACTTTAACACTTTTTTTCTACCAAAGTGATAGCTCCTCAATTTTAAATTCTTTTTTATCACTTAAACATCATATTCTAGTTACCTTTTATAAAAGAAATAATAAATTGCCTGACAGACTCAATTAGAATAGCTGTGCTAAAAATATCCCTTGTTTAGAGGTATAAGTCAAATGACCCAAACATACACATTCTGGGTGTTTGAAAGGGATACTAATATTTTATGTCTCTAAATGAAGAATTATCATTAAAAAGCAAAAGACACTAAGTACCAGCCAATTCGGCAAATAGAACCTAATTCTATAGAAGTGTGGTACCTGCCCAGTTCTGGATATTTCTTCCTCAGCAAACCTTAACCCAATCTTGGGCTGCTAATAATACAATGAAATGGACCTTTTCCCATTCTTTTAAGTAGTTAAATTAGGGTACCAATTGTAAATTTAATCATCTGAAGAATTTCTAAGCCCTTAAGAAGTGTCCACTACATATCGTACTCAATAGGAGTTGAGTCAGGTACCCCCACAGTGAAAACCTGTAAAGACTACATTCTTTTCTCTTTTGAGAATGAACTTTGTTTGCTGATCAAACTTCAGATTTCAAATGCATTTGTAAAACAACACAGAGGACTTGGAAAGAGGAATGCGCTGCTTATGGTCAACAGCAGTGACATTACCCACTGTAAGACCTCCCTTTTCTGAACCTGGATGTTAGCCAGCTCCTTCCAAACACCCTATTCCTTCTCCCCTAAGCATGTCCACACATTTACCCCAAGAAAAATGACAGGAAGTGACTAATGTTTCCAGACAACACTAATCATTGCCCCTGAACTACAATAATGAAAACAGGAAAAGCTATTCTAGACAAAGTAACAATACAAAGTTCTGTACTATCAATCCTGGATCTTATAAACAGAATGCTCCAAATTCCTTGCCTTCCATCATGATATTATTTTACAGCTCTGTTTTCCCATTCATCACGGGGATGAAGAGCTGTATTTGTTTAAATGAGTTTTTAAAATAAGTTAATCATATTGTCATATATATCTCTCAGGGACCATCCATATGTATAGAATACATAACCACCTACATATTTTAATTTCATTAACATGAAGTAGATTGAGCTTCTCATCACAGCTCCCCAAAAATGATTGTATTTAAAAATCTACCACTTAAATCGATTCCTTTATTTCTGCTATAGGTCCCCTTTAAATACAAATAGTCCTTGTAGATTTAATAGTTATGAAAGGCTAGTCTCTTTTTCTATTGATATAAATATGGTTATCAAAGCCTTATCTAAAAAGCAACTTTTAATTGGAAAACAGAAAGAGGTAGAAATGAGAAAAGCCAGAGCCTAGATAGTTTAAAGACAAAATATTTTTGTCAAAATTATAAACAGGGTAATAAATATGATAGGAAATTTTAAGCAATATTATGTCCATCTGCTAATGTAATATAATATGGTCATGTACTAAGGTGTAGCTCAATGCTATACCTTTAATATGTGGTCCCAGCAAGCTTTTCCTGGGATTTTACTCTTACACTCCCACAAGAGACAGCTGGCTTTCCTGGGTAGTTTCACAAACCCATTCTTGTAGTTTTAGCTCAATTCTGCCCTCTTATGGATATCAGTAGTATTTCAGGTTGACAGGTGGGGAACCTCTGCTCTGGGGAATTCACATGTTATTGGTGCTGGTGTTATTGGTGGTGTTATAAGGCTTTTTTTTAGAACTCTTGCCAACCTGCGGCAGCTAGTAGGGGCCAAGGGATACTGAAAGGAAGGAGAGAAGATCTCTCCCACCAAGTTTAGGCAGCTATAACTGTGTCCAAATTGCTACCAGGAGAGGAAAAAGGAATCAGAGAAGAAAAAAAGGAGAACTGACACCCAGGTGTTGAACCTGCTACACCTAGGGGACTTCCATTGCCAGCATGCTCTGTCTCCACACAACTATCTGTAATTCTTACCATCTATACCCACCATAGGCTTGAAGCGAGAAGGAGGAAAGCAGACTCTAACCAACTGCAGTGGAAGTCGTGGTGCACAGAGCCTGCCTGATTGACAGAATCTCAAGATGAGGAGTAACTGTAGGGAAGAGAATTTCAGCCTGCCTTAGACCATTAAAAAGTCACTTACCCCTGCTCTCTTTTAGCATTGGCAAGGTAGAGGTTCATAAAATCCAAGGTAGAAACTTCATGACATCTTGCCTTTTGCCTGTGCTTACCTCATATTGTAGAACTACAGACCCCTCCTCGGGGCTCACCACCCAACAATGCCTAGCCAGAGACCACCTGCCTAAGATAGGGCGGGGGAAATTTTCTCAGCTGTCCCAACTAAAAGGAAGGTTCTTGTTCCTGCAACTATAAATGATTATTCAAATGTCAAGGGAAATAATATTTTTAACTTCATTGAAACAAAAAAAAATTCCTATAGGTAGATTAGACTGAGAGTAAAAATGACCATGATCATGTTAACAGTAGCAGATCCAATCCCTTTTCATATATGGTACTGAAATGAGAGATCATGTCTTCCCTTTTGGTTTTCATTAAACAAAATTGTGCAACTAGCTTAGTAACTAGTCCTTGATCCATTTTACACATAAATGTAATACCACATCCTTAATATAATCAGTAGGTTAGTGCCTTGGAAACAGCTCTCAACCTTTAAAACATGACTGAGGCAGCTACACTCTGAAGTCCTAAACATTAAGGCATGATACCAGAATACCAAAGGACTGTTCTAAATTCTAAACCTACATTTTAAAAAATGCTTTCTACATCCACATATCATTAATAGTAGAACACACTCAAAAAAGATACATTTGCTATTTGAAGGCATATTTATATCTTAACAGAGATAATTAATAATCAATCCAACTCAACTGCTAGTTCACATTGTTTCATATATACATAAAAAATTCAGTTTTATCATTGTATATCCAAAGGCCAGAACTCCTTTGAACAACCAAGTTTAATGAGCTAAAATATAACCCAACCATGAAATATATTTTAAGCATTAATTACCATTTTTTTCAGTAGTACATAGCTCAGAAATACACAATTGACCTCTAAATCAAATTGTGAAATATGATATATCAAGAACTATGTAAGGTTTTGAACAGCCAACAATAAAAAATTAAAAAAAAAAAGAACATGTATCTATGGCAAATTGTGAAAATGTGCACTAATCTTATGTTTATTCAACTTGTACTGTGTTTGCTCTACTAATTTTTATAATCTTTATAGAATTAGGTTCCTTCTAGTTCTGAATCTGCTTCTGCCCTAAGTTAACCATAGCTTATCATTTCTACTATCTTTTTGTGCTACTAAAACAATGCTCACATTGTTGGATAAAACCATCTGAGGTATGTTCTAAACTTTCCTGCATTCTATGAAATGGTCATTTAGAATATAAATTAAGGCTTTTTTTAGAACTCTTGTTGTTTCTTTAATTTACAGCTTTAAGGATCAGAATGGCAAAGCTGGGGAAAAAAGTGATCTGACGGCTGAATCACCTATGTGAGCAACCTCTGGAGAAGAAATTAAGAAATGTCTGCAGATTTCTCTTCAGGATATTTTGTTTCATTTTCCTGGAATCCCCCAAAAATATATAATTATATCCATATTAAACCATGTGAATAAGTAGTAGTTATTATCTGTGAAAAAATTCCAAAACAGCTGCGGAGAACAACTGCTTAACTTTTCCAGTAATTTGACATGATTCAGTGGGAAGGGGGCTAAAACCAGCATATTTTTATTGTATTGACACCAAAGCATTTCTAATAAGAGCTTGTTAAATGTAAGAATAAAGTTATTTAAAGTATCCTGGTATTCTAACTTTGCTAATACAGGTATTGAAAAATCATAGGATGCCTTTGCACCTCATCACAGAAATATTCATCTTATATTTTGACAAGTAAACCTGTCATCCCAAGTCATTAATGCCATAAGACAATTGCATGCTTCTGCTGAGGAGCAACTCAATTTGTTTGGTCCTCAGCAGGAGCATGCAATTGTCTTATGGCATTAATTTATAAGATTAATTAATAAGATTTCAGAGCCTTGCACACATTCAAAAGATGCCTGCAATAATTATCCTTATATTTTTTTCATTGAATAATTATTCCAAACATAGAAAGAAATAACACCACCAATTTTGTATTGGTGCATAATTATGGTAAAATAGTGGGATTTGTGGTGACATATTTATACATGCATAACCATAACTCGTCAATTTCATTCCTCAATTCTCCTCCTTCTTTTCTCTCAGGCCTCTTCCACTGCTCTACTGGTTACCCTTCTATGTCCATTTTTTCCCCCACTTTTATCTCTAACTTACACTTTTGAGAAAAAACATGACCCTTTCTGAATCTGTCTTATTTAGCTTAACACAATGTTCTTAAGTTCCATCCATTTTCCTACAAATGACATAATTTTGTTCTTCTTTATGAGTGAATAAAACTCAATTATGTATTTATATCACATTTTCTTTTTTATTGATTTTTTTAAATAAATGAAAGCGGAATGTATTATAATTCTTATTACACAGATAGAGCACAGTTTTTCATATATCTGGTTGTATATGAAGGATGTTCACACCAATTTGTGTCTTCATACATGTAAAATTTGGATAATGATGTCCATCACATTCCACCATCCTTGCTAACCCCCTGCCCTCTCTCTACCCCTCTCACCCCTCTGCCCTATCTAGAGTTTTTTTCCTCCCATGCTCCCTCTCCCTATTCCTCTATGAGTCAGTCACCTTATATCAGAGAAAACTTCAGCACTTGGTTTTTTGGGATTGGCTAACTTCACTTAGCATTATCTTCTCTTAACTTCATCCATTTACCTGCAAATGCCATGATTTTATTTTCTTTTATTGCTGAGTAATATTCTATTGTGTATATATGCCACATTTTTTAATCCATTATCTACTGAAGGACATCTAGGTTGGTTCCACAGTTTAGCTATTGTGAATTGTGCTGCTATAAACATTAATGTGGCTGTGTCTCTGTAGCATCACATTTTCTTTATCCACTCATCTGTTCATAAACACCTAGGCTGCTTCCATAATTTGGCTATTAAGAATTAACTGTTATAAGCATAGTATTGTGTATTGCTATAGTATGCTGACATGAATACTTTGGGATGAATGCCAAGGAGTGGTTTAGCTGGGTCATATATTGGTTCCATTCTTAATCTTTTTGTGTGTCTGTGTGGTGCTGGGGATTGAACCATGGCCTTGTGCATGAGAGGCAAGCACTCTTCCAACTGAACTATATCCCCAGCCTTGTCTTTTGAATTAGCCTCATATTTTGAAAGTTTTGATTGTCTTGACAGTGCACATGAATTTACAGATAACTGACACATTCATTCTTCTTAAACTATCATTATTTCCACTCAGGTCAATGTGAACTCTATGTTGCAATGACTGATTATAACCTAAGGGTGCTGGATAAAGAATTTCCAATGCTCACAAAGAGAACAAATCTGGGTTTAATTTGACTTATTCTTGAGAACTAGTTGGAATTTTGATATTAAAACTAATATGAATATATATAGCATGCCATTCCTAAATATTCTTGCCAGTATGTTAAATCCTGATTTGAAGAATAAGCCCATCCCAATAAATCCTCTCTGACCCTCATTATACCATCCATCATCCAACACCCTCAAAACCCATTCCCAAATCCCCCTGTGTCATACCAGTATGTACTATCCAGGTTCTCCAAATCTTCCCATAAATAGTCTGTTTCCTCCCAGGTCAGAAATGGAATTTCCCTGATGGGACTGCTAAGACTCTAAATCCTGGAGGCAATGAGAGGTAAAAGAAGCAGATCCCACAAAGAAGCACTAACCTGTGAACACCTGCCTCAGTTGAATTGTCTGGCAAGGGGCAGCTGTTCTGTAGCCAAAGAGAATTCCTTCTGCTGGCCAGGAATCTGCAGGTTTAAGTTTCTGAGACACTTTCAATAAATACCCCTATTCTCGGTCCAAGAGACTCCTTCCCTTTCACAGTTCCAGCTTTGTCATAAGCAACCTGTCAAACCTGCATGTCCCTCTGTAGCTCTGCCACCCTTAGATCTGCAGCATGGGTTTAATTTTAAGAGCAGTCCGTCCTTTGGCTCCAGGAGACATGGCTCTCTTTAAACATACTATGGAGACTGTCTGGCTTTCTGGCATGCCCTAGGTCAACAGTAGGCTGATGTAATCCTAACTGTTTTCTTCAAGGCTTCTACTGCAATTATCAAAAAGCAGCCAACTTCATGGTACAAGTCAGTACACAACAATATCTTTCCTTGTATCGGTCAAGTTCAGAGCTATGGTAAAACCCAACTCTTCCTTTTCACCTGTACATCATCTCAATGCAAAAAAAAAAAAAGTGTGTCTTAGAAATTCTAATAGTACAGCCTGTCGAAAGTTGTCACTATCTACTTATATGGTCCTATTTGCTACCTGACCAAACAATGGACGGTCCAGTTCCACAGTCCCATGCTAAGTGTCTGCCATTGAGAGCCATTCTTGGTTTTAACAGGGAGCAGAGCCTGAAATTAGAACATGGGTACAAGTGGTTTATTTGAGAAATGATCCGAGGGACAGGAAGAAAGGTAAAGGAAAGAATGGTCAATGCAATCAATGGTCCACAGTCAAGGTTAATGCTCGAGGCAACAGTTACTCTCTTCCACCATGATCTCAGAAGAGTGTACAGGAAGAACCTAAAATTGTATGTCTGAAGGATAGGACACTGGAGCACTTATCCAGCAGCTCTGGTGCCCCTGTGGAAATAATCCGCCCACACACACACACTTCTAGTTTGCACTTACATGGATATCACACAGATTCCTGCAATACTGGAGACAGCGCAGAATGAAAAAGGAAAAAAAAAATACACACACACAAAATGCTTCTGGAGTATGATGCCCACAAAAGTGTGACCCAACTCAGCTATGGCACTGCAGAAAGTGACCAAGGGCACCAACTGTGTCTGCCATACTAGCTGTATAATCCTGGACAACAAACTTAACTGAGCATGTTTCCTCATCTGTAAAATGATATAAATGCCGCATGCCTCAAAGAGGTATCTGAGAATTCTACTTACCAGTGAATGGAAGGTACCAGGTGCCCTATCCATCATCAAATTGGCTGAGATGTCATACATTAAAGCTGACACCATTACATCCTTCATCATCCCATATCTTGAAGTTTTGTGTGTCTCATGCTTATGTTTAGGTCAATGGTCCATTTTGAGTTAAACAGAATAAGAAAAGTAAGTGAAGGAAAGCTTAGGAAAAGTCAGTGAAGTAAGAATGAAGGTAATTTTTCCAGAGTTATTAAATTGTTCCAGCCCTACACCTTGAAAGATTATTTTCCATGTTCAGCTACCTTGGCACCTTTGCTAAAAGTCAGTTTGCCTGTAAGTGTGGGCTTACATATGGATTCTCCATTCGGTTTCATTCTTCTGTATATATATTGCATATCAATACCACATTTTACCTATAACAATGGAACTTTATAATAAGCATGGGAATCAAGTTGGAGTGAGTCATCCACTGTATCTTGTTTTTTTAAAATATATATATATATTTTTTTATTCCTTATTTATTTATTTATTTTTTATTTTTTTAAAATTTTTTATTGTGGGTTGTTCAAAACATTACAAATTTCTTGACATATCAGACATATCATATTCCACACTTTGATTCAAGTGGGTTATGAACTCCCACCTTCACCCCATACACAGATTGCAGAATCACATCAGTTACACATCCATTGATTTACAAATTGCCATACTAGTGTCTGTTGTGCTCCGCTGCCTTTCCCATCCTCCACCCTCCCCCCTCTAAAATATATATATTTTATAACTAGTTTGAAATTAACAGAAAAAAAAAAAAACAAGAAGATAGTACAGAGTGACCACATACCCCACACCCAATTCTATTAACTTCTTACACTGATATAGTACATTTGTTACAGGTAATGAACCAGCTATAACACACCATTAGTAACCCAAGTCCCACAGTTTGTTCATATTTCTGTAGTTTTCTCCTAATGTCCTTTTTATGTTCCAGGATCCCACCTAGAAAACTACATTATTTTAACCATCATGTCTTCTTAGCCTCTTTTTAATTGTGACAGCTTTTCAGGCTTTCCTCATTTTTGATGACATTGACAGTTTTGAAGTTACTGGTCAAGTGTGCTGCAGGATGTCTTTCTGTCATATACTTTGTTTTTCTCATGTTAGAGGAGGGTTGGGCATTTGGGGGAAGAAGATCTCCCCATTGAAATGCCATTTCTATCACCTTGTGTCAGGGGCACATACTTTCATCATGTTTGCCACTGTCAACATGGACAAAAGATCCCCTTTCCTGGCTGAGGGACGGTTTGCCAAGTACTGTATTCTCTGAAAGACTGTATAGCCCATCTTTCAGGAGTAGAGAATTAGGCTCCCTCTCCTAAGGGCAGAGAATTTTCAAATTATTTAGAAAGCTTCTGCACAGGTGATTTGTCTGTTCTCTCCCATTTACAATTATATGAATACACCACATTTTATTTATTCCTTCATTCATCTATTGCATGTTGTGAATAATGTTGCAATAGGTATGGGGTTCAAATATCTATCAGAGAATCTACTTTCAATTTTGGTAGATAGATACCCAGAGTCGGCATTGCTCGTTCATGGAGTAATTAATTTTCTTGAGGACCCTCCAGATTGTTTTCCTAACAGCTGCACCATTTTACATTCCCACTAGCATGGCACAAGATTTCCAATTTCTCCACGTCCTCACCAACACTTACAATTTTTCTTTCTTAAAAACTAGTGGC